GGCGGGGCCCGGCGGCGGCGGCGGCGGTGGCGGCGGCGGGGCGGCGGGGGGAGCGGGGTGGCGGCTGCCGGGGCGGGTGCTTGAGCTGGTGTTCTCCTACCTGGAGCTGCGCGAGCTGCGGAGCTGCGCGCTGGTGTGCAAGCTGTGGCACCACGTCCTGCACGGCGACGAGAACAGCGAGGTGTGGCGCAGCCTGGCCGCGCGCTGCCTGGCCGAGGAGGCGCTGCGCACCGACATCCTCTGCAACGTGCCCACCTACAAGGGCAAGGTGAGCCCGGCGCGGCCCCGCGCGGCGGTGACGCCTCCCGCGGACTGACCCCTCTTGGCTCCCCGCCCTAGGTCCGTGCCTTCCACCACGCCTTCAGCACCAACGACTGCTCCCGGAACGTCTACATCAAGAAGAACGGCTTCACGCTGCACCGCAACCCCATCGCCCAGAGCACCGACGGCGCCAGGACCAAGATCGGCTTCAGCGAGGGCCGCCACGCCTGGGAGGTGTGGTGGGAAGGGCCGCTGGGCACCGTGGCCGTCATCGGCATCGCCACTAAGCGGGCGGCCATGCAGTGCCAGGGCTACGTGGCCCTGCTGGGCAGCGACGACCAGAGCTGGGGCTGGAACCTGGTGGACAATAACTTGCTGCACAACGGTGAGGTGAACGGCAGCTTCCCGCAGTGCAACAACGCGCCCAAGTACCAGGTGAGCGGGCAGCGGGCCCTCCGTGCGCTGCTGGGTGCCGCCCCGGCATCTCCCTGCAGGAGGGACTAGCTTCATCTTCACCGCCTTCGCGGCCGTCCCGGACGGCTGGGTTGGAAGGGATCTTAAGCCACCCGCTGCCACCCCTGCAGAGGGCTGGCTGCCCCCACCGGCTCAGACTGCCCACGGTCCCATCCAGCCCTGAGGGATGGGGCAGCCACTCTCCTCTGCGCCCGTTTCCTTTGTTTCTGCCTTCTTTCTCAAATACCGAGTGGGCGTTCATTGGAACACCGCATCCCCTCTGAAACAAAAGCTGACATCGCTCTCAGGAGCAGCGAGGCGGCTGTTGTCGGTGGCTGTTTCAGCCCCGTTGGCGGTGTGAGCAGAGGCCGTGCTGAGGCAGGGCCTCCCCGAGCCACGCGCTGGTTGCTGGCTCTCCGGGCGCCCTCCCACAGGTGACATCCTTTGGTCGGGCCGTGACGTGTGGGTGATTTTGGGTTACCAAAGCACAGGTGCTGCTCTGCTGTTCTGTCTTGCTGTGTTTATCTTTGTTCTCCAGGCCGCTCACACGGCCGCCTTTTGGCTGATGGTTTTCCTCACGTTGCATCTTCAGCTGTTTTGCGGTATAATTCCCTCTCACAGTTTCGTGGCTTGGGATGAATAATGCTTTGTACTTCAGCTGTACATGAACATCTTGGCATTAACTCAAGGCTGATATTTCTAAATTTCATGTAAAAGCTCACTGCCAAGCACTTAGTTCAGTCTGGAAATGATACCTGCCATTTCTGCAATTAATAAGTAAATGTGGATCAAAGAGATGCAGATTTCACATTTCCTGATGTGTGAATTGGCCCTTTCCAGCCCTGCCCATTGGCAGTCTGTTCCTGCTGCCTGTCTGGGCCTTTCTGCACAGCAGGATGAGGAGAGCTTTTAAAGCCAGGAGAGCTCCCATGGGGACTGCAGGCTGAGCTGTGCTTGCAGTCAATGCTTCCTTGTTAAGAATTGGTGAGGGCTTGAATCAGCAATCCTTTAAAGCATTTTGTATTATTTAGTGAGACGTAGAATCATGGAGTCATACACGTATGGTCATCTGCTCATAGAATACGTACTGAAGGGAAATACACACTTGTTAGCATTGGCTAGAAGAAGAATATGTTGGCTGGAAGGAATCCCCGGCACTGCGGTTGTCTGGTGGAGAAGCAGAAGTTTGTGCTATCTCATGCTGCATTTGCTGCTGGTGCTTCTCGCTTCTGTTTATATTTGAAAGCAACGGGATAAACACAGGGAGCATCCTGTACAGCCTGCATTCAGCATTGGTTTTACTCACATCTGTATATCTGTATTGTAGGTTTTGTGTGCCCATTTTGCCAAAGCTTTGCACTGAATTATTTTTCTGCCTTGGTAAGGGAGCACCCCTGTCAGTGATAGCATTCGTGCCATCAGAAGTACGTTCTGGGAATATTCTGCACCTGGCATTTACCTTTCTAAACAACCTGTCTAACATTGTTCTTTGTAGCCTCTACTGGTCATTGCCGGCAACAGAGCCCCAGTTACTTGGGGCAATTACAGTATTGTCAGGCTCCTGTGGTGCTCTGGAGCAGTGCTCTTGCTTGTGCTGCTGCTGCAAGGTCTGCTTGTGAAGGGCTGTGTTCAGTGTTATGAGGATGCTTAGGCCTGGGCTGCCCGCAGGAGCAGGCAGCAGATGTGCTGGTCCATGCGAGAGGAGTGGAGACATCTCTGTTGTGAAAGCAGCAAGGAAAGCCTCGCTTTAATCTGTTCCGCTGTATTATCCATGGATTTTGCTTTGTATGTTTTTTAGGTTGCTTTTTTTGGTGTTTCCATCTGAATATATTGACTCTTTCCCTGTTTGCTTCTCCTCCCTCCTCTTCCCATCTCTGTTTCCAGATAGGCGAAAGGATTCGAGTTATCCTGGACATGGAAGACAAAACGTTAGCGTTTGAGAGGGGCTATGAGTTCTTGGGAGTTGCGTTCAGAGGACTGCCCAAAGTTTGCCTGTATCCAGCAGTGTCTGCCGTGTACGGTAACACAGAAGTGACTTTGGTCTACCTGGGAAAACCTTTGGATGGATGACGGATGGTTTCGTTGGGACGTCACGATGTGGATGACTGGGAGGAGAAATCTGCATGTTGGTTAGAGGGAAACATGTGTTAGAGGAAAAAAATAAGCGTGTGTCCAAGAACCATCGAGGAAACCATACAGAATTTTGAAATGGAGGACCAGCCATACTTCAGGAATTGTTACATTTCCTCTTTCTACCAGGCCAGAAAAATCCTCAGGGTCGCAGTTGATTGAGTGGGAAGCTGACACGTGCATGTTGCAACAGATTTCATTGCTAGGATGGCAGTGCGTGACCTCAGATATTTAAGGAAGGATTTGATATAAAACTGCTTGCGGAAATTAACCCGAGGTTTGTAAGTCGTGTGTTTTGTGAAAGACTCCCATTTTAAAACTGCTTGTGCCTCCCCTTCCCTTCCCTCCTCGGGGCTGACGTGGGTACTGGGGAGAGCGAGTCTGGTTGGGTTTTACTTACAGTTTTTAAAATACCAAGAAGAGCCGTCTGTCCAGGCTGCCCTCCTCTGGTGTAACGATATCAAACGTGTGCAGCTATTTTTAAGTGTATTTTAAGAATTGTATATATGGAACACGTCGAAAAGAACAGTTACATCAAAAAGAAGGGTTTGCTTTATTCTAACTGGGGTGGAATTTCTTGAAGGGGCTTCAGGAAAACTTTGAATGACATTCATGTAAGTGTGCTTCTTCTGTTGTGTTGTAGAGCATTGGGAATGCCCTTGTGGAGTACGGTGCTGCGTGGATTCTCTTTCTGTGTAGCTGAAAGCTTCCGTAGCTTCAGCAGTAGTTCTGTTCTCCCTGGGAAACACAACCAAAATTGCCCTGGAAGTTTTGTTCTTCCAAAATTTATGGTCCACCCTTAAGAAAAGAAGCTGCAGCACGGTGCTGAGCTCGTCTTCATTTCCACGTCAAAAAGACAAGGTTTTAAAAGCACCCTTATGCTTTCTGGTCGGTGCTGTCTGTGGGCACTGCAGGATGGCTCCTTTGGTGGGGCACTAAAATCTGAGAGCTGTGTGCCTGCCTGGCTCTCAGCACCCATTTCTTTCGTGCTGGCATTTCCAAGAGCAAAGCAGGCTGTTTCAGTTATCGATGGTGTGATTTTAGGAGGGGGAGAATGAAGTTTTTGTGCAACCTCTCCTTAGTTTTGTGCTGGAGAACGTGAGCTGCTTCATCTCGGATGCTGACAGTTCTCTGAGCAAGAGGAATGTCTCTTAGGCCACTGCTTGTTTTCCCCCCTTTATTCAAGCAATTGGAGGAAAGCAAGTAACTGAGATGCCTCATGTGCTGCAGAAGAGCTGTCCTTGCAGTGCTTTTTACACAGTAAATAACCAAGTTGTGCACTGGAACAGAGAATGTGCATTATTACCATTTAAAAGGGTTTATAGTATTTATTTGTTTTATGTGTTGCTTAGTGCTTAAAGGCAGTTTGGTATCGAGCTCAATTTCTCTTGGCTGTGTTAAAGAAACAAAGGATACGGTGAGAAATGATGTTTTAAATGGTACTGAGAGCAACTGGCTGGTGAAGTGAGACCGACACCAAGTGAGTACCTTCCTGGAAAACCAGTCATGAGCGTTGGTTGGATTAAACTGCAGGGCTCACGTGTGCCTGGCAGAACTGGAGGAGGGAAATGGGAAACAAAATCCTGTCCTGTTTCACAGAGTAAGATCTTTGCTGAGGTGCGAGCTGTTCTCGGTCGGCCGTGGCTGCTGTGCTTGGTCGTGAGTCCAATTAGATGTAAGTAAACCCTGAGAACTTCGGAGGAGTTTGGTGAAACGAAGATTGATTTCCGTTCTTCAGACTGCGTCTTACCCTATAAATTATTTCCCTCTAAATTAGATGTGGTGAAAGCTGAACATTCCTTAAGGGTGGGTTTGGGGGGGAGCTCACGTAAAACTATAACTTATTCCTGGAGACCAATGCTGGCTGTACAAAATATTAAAATAAACTCTGCTATAATTCACAAGGACTCATCTGTGTGTGTTGTTGCAACGACCTCCGCAGCGGTTTGGTGTGGCGGAACAAAACTTCTTATCTTGAGGAGGATGGTGGTGCTGGGGCTGTGCGATTTGCTGACTGTTCAGGAAGGGAGAACCTCGAGGGTGGTTACAGGGAGCTGGATAGCTGTGCTCCTCAAATTACCCCCTTTTCACAGCTGGAGGTCTTCCAGTATGAACTGCTGGGCAGCAGAGGAGGTGTTGGGCTCAGTGCTGCCCTGCTGTTGCAGGAGGTGCCTTGGAAGGTGCTTTTTGACTGCTTGTTCACCATCCTTACAAATCACACTGAGAGAGGAGGTAGCAGGTATGAACAGTGTAGGGTATCTGTGCTACCAGCTCCAGTTTAACTCTCCTCCACCAACACATTTTGACTAACCAGACAGCCGTTTGCTTGCAGCTCTTCCCACTTGGTAAATCATTTTGAAACCGTCTTTATTCACCTTTTACACTTCAGGCTTGGAGTATTGAGAAGGAAGCAGACATCGAGATTGCATTTGAGGAGGTGAAAAAGGGGGGTTACAAGAGAGGTTTAGAGTACTGACCAGATTCACACAGCTGGAACAGTGATTTGGGAATGACCTGAGCTCTGGGCACGGGGGGGACAAGGCAGTGGGGTCTGGCAGCCTGCACAACCTTGTCTTGCAGGAGAACAGGGAATGGAGGAGGCAGCTCTCCTCTCCCCTGCACACTGCACCCAGTGTGCTCCTCCCTGCGGCTCTCCTAAGCTTGTTCCCATGCTAGGACTGCTTTGGTGGGATGAGGATCTAGCAGGCGTAAGATTTAATATCTGTAGTCAGATCCTATACTGAGGTATTCCTGCTTATTTTTTTTCTTCTTCTTTTGCAGCTTTTCCAGCCTTAACTGTAAGAATTGCTGATCCCTAGAGCGCTTGGTGCCTCCTCGGATTCTTTTGGTGCTTGCACACATGCTGTGTTAGGTTCTGCTGGGCTGGGCTGGCTTCAGGCTGTGCTGCTTTGTTCTGGGTAAGTTCTTGGAATGGGCACCCAGTGCATTTCTGCTGCTGCTTTGAACGGAGTGGCTTCTATGTGCTGTTTTTGATGGTTTTGCTTCTCATTCCCACCTGTGTGCAGCAGCATGTAGCGATAAGCTCTGTGTGACATGATTTAAATATACACAGAGCCTGTGTACTGCTGGGGGACAATGGAGGAGCAGTCGAGCCATGCAAATACCCCTTTTCTGCTCTCAGTTCCAAAGGCAAGCTTTGTGCCTTTTCCAGGTTCAGCAAAGAGGAATTCCGTCTTGCACAAGGCCCACAGACCGTGCTCTGTAGACATGAACTTCACTCTTGTGATACCAAGTTCTTGATTTGCCAAAGCAGATCAATTGCAGATTTAATGCCTGGGCTTCGTGCAATCTGTGGGTGTTGCTCACACAAGTTTCATTAGATGGGGGGCACCAAGGAGAGCTCAGATGTGCTCTTGGTAGCTTGTGAGGGTAAGAAATGGCACTGGAGCTCATGGAGCTTTCACAGTGATCTGTTTCCAAATGCATGTGTATGGCTGTGGTCCAACAGCTGGAAAGTAACTGATGCTGTGGCAACAGGCTGCAGGCTGGGGCAGGATCTCCAACCCAACCACACATGGCAGATCATGTGGAAAACAAACAACAAAAGAGGGCTGAGATGCTGTGCAAGTTGGAGCAGCCATAATCAATAATCAGAGGAGACTGTGTTGTGGTCGGGAGCTCTGAAGCACTTTCCAAAATCACTGAGAATTAGTTTTTAAGTGCTGAGCTTTTGGCTGATGTCTCCATGAGGGTGTTCAGAAGAGAAGAGGTCTGATGTTGGTTAGCCGAAAACGGGCTGGAAAAAAGGGATTCTGTGAGGTACTTTGGAGTCAAGTGAACAACTGCATGGAGTATTTTCCCTTCCTCAGCGTGTGATCTGACTGCTTTGGCCAAGAGAAACATCAGCTGCCCATAGCTTACATAGATCAGTCACGTGTAGGCTCCACAGTCCTTCAGGATATCTGGTATTTCTTCATCGGTGGGGAAACAGCTCACTGCTGGGGAGATTTCTCTTAAAGCATTTTTTCTGCTTTAAAATGCAGTGGTGCATGCATTTCTGGGAGTCCTGTATGAGCCTGCTGCGAGCAAATGCCATTTGGTGCTGTAATTTTTGGCCACGTTTCAGGTGACAAAAGGGGAGCAGATGGCTGTGATGTGATGGGCTGCGTCCGCGTGTCCGTGCACAGGCTGAGCTTCTGCTGCTGCGGATGTAGCTGTGTTCTTCTGCCTCGGAGTCCCACAGCCAACTGGAACACGTTAGATTTTCTCTCCCTGTACTGCTGAGCTGTATTTCTGAATTGCCTTGAAATGTGGATGTGTTTTCCAGATGGCTCTCTCTATTTTTTGCTCTTCCACTTCCACGGAGATGATGACAGCAGCAATGAATTAAAATAACATTTGTCCTGGGAAGAGTTGGGTCATACCTAGAGAAAAGAGATGTAAGAGCAGCTGTATGGGAGGCAACAGCCCTCAGCATTTCCTGAGCCCTCACATTTCTATATTGATACCTCAGTTTTGGCCAAGTCTTTACATTTCTTCTCATTTTGACTTTATTACCTGCGTGAGCTTTATATTTGTTGCCCAGCAAGATGGAATATTGCTGTTGAACTGGAGGTAAGCTTCTGGTTTGTTACACTTTGCCTAAAGTTCAGGATTTGAAAGTGCTCCCTTTCCTCAGGTGTTAGGGACTGTGACTTACTTCCCTTCCTCTTCTCTCCCTTTGTTAGCCTATGGAATCTGCTTCTCCTCGGCCTCTGCGTAGGAAGGAACTTCCTGCTGATCTGACTGCTTCCAAGCCTGTGTTCCACAGTTCCACAAGGCTGGCATGTTATAAATAGCCCTGGACACCAGCAGGAGCATGGCCGTGAGTGCTGCATGTGCTGCTCTGTGTCGGCTCAGGGCTGGCTCTTACAGAGCAGACAGTGCTGTGCAACCTGCGGCCAGCAAACTGCACTGCTGAGATGTGTTCTGTGATCCTTTTCACAGTGACAAAACGAGTTTTTAAGCGGTGAGGAGGACGACGTGTTTGTTTTATCGAAATTATCCTGCACTACCTGGCACTAGGGTCTAATTTAGTTGAAAGGGAGAATTAATGAAGTGGTAAATAAAGACCGAAGGCTTTTCCTTCAGACGGTGCTGAATCTGCTGATTTCTCCTCAACGCAGTGTTTGTCATTGTGTTCTGGGGATGGTGTGACCTCAGCACCAGTTCTCACACCTCCCAGCAGAGGGCAAAGTGAACAGTGCTGCGGGAGCACCGACTGGATCGGCTGAAGGTTTGTGCAACATTCATGCTTCATGCAGAACCTCTACTGCTATTCAACATCCCCTTCTCCTTTTGCTTTTATCACTTTTGAAACATACTTCTTCATTGGAACTCTTGGTCCTGCAGTTAGGGTTAAGGTTATGGGGTGAGCTGGGAGCCTGAGGTCACTTGCAGAGGCAGAGGAGGTTTGGGGGCTCAGGTACAGTCAGTCCCATATTGATCTGGTCTGCTTTGTCACACACTGCTTTCCATCCCTTTGGGTGTCTGTCACCGGTGTCCAAAGTGAAGCCATCAGAAGATGATTGAATGTATTCCATCCAACAGCAGTGGTTGAAAGAGGATTTTAAAATAGAACTTGCTGTATGTTATTACAAGCGTTGCTTGTTCTGCAGTTTTGCAAGCCACAAGAACAAGGTGTCTTTCCTGCCATGCCTGCACTTGCAGATCTGTTGCAAGCTAGCTGGGTTTGTTTCATGTTTGCTTGATTTATTTTAACTTTTAATCCAGACTGTTCTTCTATTGTTAAAGGCTCTTTGGTTCTGTGTTTACCTGCAGGCAGTGTTTGAATGGAGGAAAGTACAAAGGTGTAACCCTGTCTGCTCTTGCCTTTTGTGTGAAGTGTCTGATCTTCCTGCGAGCTCCCGGCTTCTGCAGCTCAGCCTCACCTCACTTCATCCAGACAGCAGCACTGAGGGTGTGTAAGGACTGCCTGCCCTGGGACCTTGGTGTGCCTGCAGCGTTTTGTTGCTCAGTACCTGTGCTGTGTCCCCAGGTGCTTCACTGTTGGTAAAGTGATTTATTGTTGTTTTAATCCTTCCCTGAACTTACAATTTCAGGTCATGAACCTGCTCTCATTTTCACAGGAGCCTTCATATCCTTAGAGGTGTGCATTAAAGCCGGGGGCAGATGTGAAAACAGCTGTTTTACAGCAGTGTGTGTGCCACAGCTACAACATCATTCCCTTGCGTGCCTTCACACTCAGGTAGAGACCAGCACTAAGACACACTGTCAGCCCCAGTGCCTGCTGTGTCTGTTTGGATCAGCCCATCAGCTGGTGAGCTGAGAATGGAGGGAAGACAAATGATTGATGTCAAAGCACAGACCTGTTTGCAACCCATGCGGGTGAGCAGGTGCTGTGTGTGTGCTCCCTCCCCAGACCCATCAAATAAGGGAGAGTGGAGCTGGGTTGCGCTCCAGCCACAACCCCCTGCTGCCCATTCACAGCATGGTGCTGGCTGCACCTCCACTGCTAGGGAGATGTTGGTAGTTGGGAGCTGAGAGCCTGCAGGTGGGGACGTGGGGTGTTCCTTCAGCATCCTATGCTTAGGAGACCAACAGCTTTTAAGTAGTAATCGTGAAGGTGGGCTCTGTCTGCTTTCCTGAGGGCTGTCAGTGTGTAACTTTGTGTTTCTGAGTGCTGGACAAACCTGCCAATAAGGAAAAGATATTGACCAAAATGGTTTTTGTGTGGTATCCTGAATACTGCCGTGGGTAAAGCTTTGCAGCCTCTGTGTCTCTTTTAGCAGCAGGCAGTGGGTGCCCAGATGAGGCCAAGAAGGGATGGGGAGAGGAGGCTGCACCACTCCCTGGGCACTGGTCTGGGTTTTTGTTGGTTTTTCTGTTGGGTTTTGTGCTCAGTTGGTTGAATGGTTTTCTCTGGATCCCATGTGAGATGGTCACCTGAGCCCTGGTGAGTCTGGAGGACAAACAGACATATTTGCATTTCACGTTTAGCTGTTAACTAAAGACTTTCAGCTGCTCTTCTCAGTGTGAAAATCATAGGATCGTTAAGGTTGGAAAAGACCTTTAAGATCATGTTCAATTCTAACCCATCCCACCATGCCCACTGATGACATCCCTCAGTGCCACATCTCCACAGATGGTGACACCACCACCCCCTGGGCAGCCTGTGCCATCCAACCTGACCCTCCCCTGGCATGACTTAGGGGCCATTGCCTCTTGTCCTATCGCTGTTATCTGGGAAAAGGGGCCAATTCACAGTGGAACAGAGGAAAGGAGGATCTGCTGTGTTCACTGACACATCTCCCTGAGCTTTACCCCTCTTGTGTTCCTTGTGCTTTTTGTGTCTGGGAGTCTTTGTGTCTGGGAGGAGGACAATCTCAAACCGAGACCCAAAAGCCCACGCTGAGCCTTTTCCACTTGTGGCTGCAGGGATGAGCTCTGAGGTGTGATGGTGTCACTTCAGATTGGGCTTTGTTAAATAGGAGCCCCTGACCTGGCAGTTTGCTCTGTTTTCTTACATTAGACAAGGAATAGCCCAGCAGGGGAGCAGAGAGGGGCCATGCTCTGTCAAGAGCTGAGATGGTTTCACTTCCCTTTGCTCTAATGACACCATTTCTCACTTCTCTTCAGCAGAACAGCATCTGGAAAGGACTGCGGAGGGGAGCTGGGGTCGTGCCAGCGTGCATTGCTGGGTGATGTCATGGAGTGCCTCATCAGTACCTCCTCCTTTGGGTGAATTCAGAGCTTCTGGTTGTGACAGGTTTATGCCAAAACCGTGCGTAAATGCGCTGGGTAGTGCCACAGAGATCAGATACAAAGCTGAGATCAGTGTGTCCACACCATGCAGCCCTATGAGGAAGCGTGGGCAACGTGCAAGCAAGCAGCAAACCGTGGGTGTAAGCAGCTCACTTGCAAGGCCTGCAGCTCCTGCAGAGATCTTGGGGGAAGGGTCAGCAGTTCTCCCTTCTCTGCTCCCGCAGGTGCTTTGTGAGCAGTTGTGCAGAGCATCCACAACATCAGCACTCAGGTCTGCGGTGCTGAGCCCTCATGCTGGCCGCTGGGGAAGCGTGGGGGAAACGAGGTGGCTTCTGTGGCTCCCTGCTCCCTGGCCCACTTCCTCCTTGCTTACGTTGGTGGAGGTGGGAGACAGAAGAGCGCAGACCGCAGTGCTGGAGCCAGGCCAGGGATGGGTGTGGGAGCTGGGAAGTGGATGTGGCCAGGCCGCTGACCGGCACCCCTCTTTCCCTTCCTGCCCACCCCATGCTTCCAGAAATGGCCTTTTGCTTTCTACTGAGACCTATTTCTGCCTTCCCTCTGGGCCCTGGGTTAAATGAGGGATCCTCTCTCACAGTCGCTCTGCATTGGAGGCCATGTCCTCAGCCAAACAGCCTCTGTTTCTCAACCTGAAGGTGTTGTGCTTGCAGCTGCTCATGCTGGTGGCTCACCTGGTTCCCTTTGAGCTGCTGCTCGCTCTGCTGGGCTGTTTTCTTCCACCTCCCCAAGGTGACTGCAGCTGTTGGTGTGAGAACCTGTGAAGGCGAATGAGCCAGCAAACTCCATACTCCACTCTGAGCAGTCTGCCCTGCGAAGCAATACTCAGCATTACAGGCTTCTCCAGATTCCTTCTTTCCAAGGCTGATGTGTGGTGAGGATGCTGTGGGACCTCCCAGCCGTGAGGCCACCCTCTGCCAGCTCCTGCCCTTCTCCTTCTGGGTGAGTGTCCTTGTGGTGGGCTGGGGACCAGGAGGGGTCTGCAGCTGTCTGCTGGTGCTGGTGACCTCGAGTAACACCCTGGGAATTTTGCCCCACTGCGGAGTTTCTGACATCTGCTCTGGTTCGCTTTTGAACGCTGAGTGCTTCTCTCTTTTCCTTCTCGATTTTCAGACTTCAAACTTCCTTGAAAATGCAGGAAATGAAACCATGGGGCCTTTTTTTGTGAGCGATGCGGGAGCACTGAGCCTCCTTCCAGAGAAGAAATGAAATTCAGGGTAAAAGCAAAAAAGAAAAATCTCCCAGGTCACGTATGCTGGCTGCAGGCACGTGGGGGCTGCTGTGAGCAGATGTCCAATGGGTCGGGGTCACCCAGACAGCGAGGTGTCTGGGAGGGTGACTGGGGAGGTTGGCAGTGGGAAAGGAGGGTTGGTGTCCAGCACAGCTTCACCCCGACCTCCACATCGCTTGGGAGCTTCCCGCGTTGGGATGGCGAGGACCTGCACCGAGGTGCTGCGTTTACCCAAATCCTGAGCAGCCACGGAGGACCCTGAGCATCCCAACCTGTGCACTGCAAGAGGCTGGGTGCTGCTGTCCTGAGGCGGGCTCCCAGCATCTGGGAACCCAAATTTGGGAATGCTGAGAACGGTATCTGCCCCTTTCTTCTTCTTCCCCTGCAGGAAATGCGGTGAGGTTGAACCCAACCACCACGAGCAGCCCCAGGCCGGTCCCGCTGAGCCCTGGGGCCCTGCCCACAGCCCCCACCCCGTGGTTCCTCCTTGCAGCTGGGGCCGCCTGCGGGTGCACGACCCGGGGTGTGAACGCCTCGCCGCGCTCTCTGCCTCCATGTGACTGCAGTTTCCGTTCGCTCCTTCCGCAAAGCCCGTCTCAGCGCTCGGCAGAAAGCGGGTGGGAGAACACCTTGTTGGTTTGCATCCGGCCCCACCGAACCCCCCAGTGCAGTGGAGGGGCTGCAGGCCGCAGGATGAGCTGCTGCAGGCCCCGCGCGCTGCTACGGGTGGTGAGTAGCTGCCCCCCAAAAATGTGGGAGGATGGAGAGTGGAGGCCAAAGCCGGACAGCAACAAGGCAGTGGTGGGGGAAAAGAAAAGGGGGTTGGGTGCTGCTGCCAAGCTGGAGCTGAAACCCTTGGGTTCTTGGGGAGTGGTGCTACGGTGGGAACACCACAAGGACCTGGCGTGGAGGTTGAAGGCTCAGAGGGGTGCTAGCTTTCACCTAGAGAAAAGGGTCTTTCTCCGGTCCCCTCTGGATTTGGTATTGGCTTCCTTCTTTCAGCTGTCCCAAGGACAGAGATAACCCGGGAGGTGTCCCTGGCTTACCTCCAACTGTGAGGCTCTGGCTCCCCAAGCAGCCAAAAATAACCTCCGATCGCTTCTTCAAGCACCAGCAGCTATGAGAAGGCTGAGCCCTCAGCAAGCCCTCGTTGCTCATTTGCCTGAACTTCAGCTTTCACCCCAGATGCAAATGCTGGCAGCTCCCGGCTCACAAAATAAGCAACAGGGGCCCTCGTGCTGAAAAGCAGCACTTCCCCAGATAGTGCTGGGATTGGAGTGTTGGCACTGGGGAGGAGGCTGCAAGCTCCGGGAAGGCTGGCTGTGGTTGGGTGATATCTGCCCTGCAGAGCGGTGTTCCGTGTGTGCTGCCTGTCCCTCACTTTCTCCTGTCCCATGGGGGTCCCTGTGCTGTGGGTGTTAGCCGGGCAGCTTGTGGTGGCCAAGTGCTGCGAGCAGGAAGGTGAGTAAGAGTGACCGTTGCTGTCCTGGGAGCCCTGGGGATGCTGGTGAACTGACCGTGCTGCAGCTCCTGACTTCTCTGTCCCCACAGGAGAGCTTCTGCTGAGATGGAGGCCCCGCTGCCTGTTCTCTCCCTGCTCCTGGTCCTTCTGGCAGTAGGATGCGGAGATGGGGCAGGCGCAGCATGGGCCTTGTCTCCTGGTGGTTGCGAGCAGGTAAGTCCTCCCTCTTGCAAATCCTTACCCTTCTGACCTCTTGATTCTCCTCTACAAGACCCAGGCACCTCAGCTTCTGCAGGCTTTCTCCTCCCAGCTGCTGGCCTAGCACTGGAGCTAAGATTTGGAGTGGGACATTGAGGCTTTACCTGAGGAATCGCCTCCATCTCACTTTTATCCCCAGCCTTATCATCTCCCCATCTCATGCTTCACAGTGAGGTGTTGCATGTCCCCTTCTTGCTGTAGGTGCAGAGCACTGCAGACTGCAGGAGGAAATGGTTGAGCTCCGTCCCTAGAAATCTGCAAGGTGACATTGAAGAGCTGTTGCTGGATGACAACACTATCCGGGTCCTGGGCCGTGCCTCTCTGTTCTCATACCACCAGCTGAAGCACCTCAGCCTGACCAGAAACCGGATGGAGCTCATCGAGCCTGGTGCCTTCCTGGGCAGCCAGGGCCTCCACGCGCTATCCTTGGCAGACAACCTTCTCTTCACCAACTACTCACTAACAGCAGCTGCTCTTTCTGCTTTGCCAGCCTTGAGGACGCTCGATCTAGCTGGAAATCATCTCACTGAGGGCATGGTATCTGTTTTGCTCAGCAACCTGTCTTCCTTGGAGTCCTTGTCTGTGGCTAGGAATGTCATCATGAGACTGGACTCTTCTGTCTTCTCCAACCTGACGCAGCTCTTGGAGCTGAACCTGGAGAGGAACTACATCTTTGAGATTGACCAAGCTTTTGAAGGGCTGCAGAGGCTGCAGAGGCTCAACGTCGCTTACAACTACATGACATGCATTGTGGACTTCAACCTGACCCAGCTCCGGGTGCTCAATGTCAGCTATAATATCATCGAGTGGTTTCTGGCCCTGGAAAGCGATGACCTCTTTGAGCTGGAGGTGCTGGACCTGTCCCACAACCAGCTCCTTTTTTTCCCCGTGCTGCCCCGGCAGAGCAAGCTGCACTCTTTGCTGCTGAAGGACAACGAGATGAGCTTTTACCAGCTTCTCCCCAACGGCACGTCCCTGGAGAATGTCACCGTGCAGTTCCTGCTCATCGATGGCAACTCCACCAACATCACGACAGTCAAGCTGTGGGACGAAGTCTGCTATAGCAACCTCTCCTCCCTGCACCTCCTGGACATGAGCCAGAACCAATTCTGGTACCTGCCGGAGGGTTTCCTGGCCAAGATGCCCGCTCTGACCCACCTGAAGCTCAACCAGAACTGCCTGGAGACCTTCCACGTGTCGGAGCGGGACCCCTTGGCCATGCTGACGGATCTGGACCTCAGTCAGAACCTGCTGACGGAGCTGTGGGAGGATGCAGGCGCCGGGCCCGCCCTGCCCAACCTGCAGCTCTTCAACCTCAGCACCAACCTGCTGCGGGCGCTTCCTGCCGGCATCTTCACTCACACAAAGCAGATCACTACAGTTGACCTCAGCTACAACCGCCTCGACCTGTGTCCCCAGCCGGCTGTTTTAGGCCGGAGCGCTCCCTGCGTGGACATCAGGGGCCTTGCCACCCTGACCCACCTCTCCTTGGCCGGCTGCGGTCTGCGGGACCTGGGCGGCCACCCCTTTCGAGGGACGGCCCTGACTCATCTGGACCTCTCTGACAACCGGGAGGCTCTGTCAGGAGACCTGGGGTGGCTGCGGGACCTGGCTGCGACGCTGCGGGTGCTGTCCCTCCGCAACACCAACCTCTCCTCCACCTCGGTGGACTTCTCGGCCCTTCAGAGCCTGGTGGGACTGGACCTGTCGGGGAACACCCTGACCGTCCTCCCCGCCTCGCTGGGCGCGCTGAAGCTACGCAGCCTCGACCTGCGGGACAACAGCCTGACGGCGCTGCCTGCGGACGTGGCGTGGAGGCCGCTGGGGAGGAGCCTGCAGGAGCTCTACCTCAGCCGTAACCCCTATAACTGCTGCACGCTGGGCTGGTGGGAGGCCCTGCAGAGCATGGAGCGCCTGCGTGTCCCCGACGGGCGTGAGGTGACCTGCAACTACGACTCGCAGCAGCTGAGCGCATGGCTGCTGCCCGAGCCCGTCCTGCGGGACTGCCGCTGGCGGACGGCCGACATGGCCCTGCTCTACCTGGTGCTTGCCCTGCCCACCTGCCTGACGCTGCTGGTGGCCTTCACTGTGCTCTTCCTCATGCTGAAGCCAAAGCTGCTGAAAATGGTGAAGAGGCGGTGCGGGGTGTCCAGCCCGTACTGATGGCTGAGGAGGACGCAGGGCCCTCTTGGGAGTGAAGGCGAGCAAGCGGGTGGGGGATTGAGAACTTGCATCTGTCTGGTGGCCCAGAAGTGGTGTTTTGGGCTGCCTGGGTGCTTGCTTTTATTTATTCACACTGCTGTGGTCACCCTCCATGTGTAACCACAGAGACGTGCCCAGAGGCCAACACAAAACTGGCACTTGTGCAGGTGAACTTCCACGGTGAATGTTTCACATCTGCGTGTTTTGGAGGGCAAGGGCTGCAATCCACACGTGAAAAGGTAAAACGGAGAAGAGTGGCAGATCTTATTTCACTGGATCTGTCAGTGCAACTTCAGTCTTAGGGTAAACCACTAAGAACAGAGGGACCGGGGCAGTGACCGTTCCCCCAGCAGCGCGGTCCCCATCCCACACTGCACTGGTGGTGGCACCACTGCTGGCAGTGCCTGCTGTGCCAGTGAGACAGGACCTCAAACCTCAGTAGAATACTGGCCGAAAGACACGAGAATAAATTATATTTCTGGTAACGTTGTTTCATCTGTTTATCTCTCCTGGTTGTTGCATGCTTTGCGATCAACGGGGCAAGCTCTGAGCGTGGAGCTGCAGGAGGGGATGCTGCAGAAGCAGAGCCAGGCACAGCACTGGAAAGATTTGGAGAAGGCCATCACATCCACCCTTGCGTATGGCTGGGTTTTTTGCCCTATTTCAGATAGAAATAGCCAAAAGAAGATCAAGTGCCAGCTGGGGGATCCTTCAGCCTATTTCAGCCACTCTCCTGCTCATGAGCAGCTCACCCAAGGGGCAGTGGAGACCTACAGTGACAGCCCTGGATGTCCTCCAGCTGCTCTCACTGGTGCCAGGCACTACAGCCACGTTTCGGTATCTCTCTGCCAGCTCTGGCCTTGGTATGTGGATGCAGATGTGCACCGTCCTCACCTGTATGCTTGCAGGCAGGTGAGGCTGTCATGGTCTGGACAGTGGGCAAGCAGGACACAGAATTGGTGGGACGAGCAGACACAGAGAGTAGGTGAGGTTTGGCAATATTCATGCAAAAAGCCACTGCAAAAATCTGGTCTGAACAAATCAGCATCCTCAGGCAGGGGGAGATGCCTGCATTGCTCAAGATGCAAAACATGGAGGGTAAGAACATGGGCTGTGCAGCCTTGATACATGAGTATGCTGGAGGAAGTGTGCGTTGGGCTGCTCTGCTGCTCAGGGAGGATTTTTTTTCTTAGGGAAAGTTGTTCCTTTAGAGGGAGGCATCTCTGGAACACTGAGACATAATATATAAGTCTGTTGGAGAGCAAAAGCAAGGGCATTCTGCAACCTTCCCCCCAGGATGCAATAAATCACCCACAGAGCACCTGGCCTGCAGAGGAAGGAGATGCCTGCATCCCCCACTGCGTGGCAGGCTGCCCTCAAACCACACTCAGGTCTGACAGCCTCAGCTGGTGAACGAAGCCTGGGATTCTTCTTGCTGCTAGAACTTTACATTCAGCCTGAGACAAGCTGGGCTTCTTTCTCCTGTTACACCATCATCAATGAAAAAGTCACTTTGCAGGCCACCATCACTGGCTCAAGGCTTTGCTCACATAGGGTTTATCATGAGGGGCCTCCCTGGCACTGCCTACAGTGAGCTGGGAACTGCAGTCTGATGGGGCAGCAGTGGGAAAGCCTTTGCTTTACCCTAAAACCACTCCTAGGCTTGGTGACTTTCTACTGTACTATCTATATATATTTATTTCAAATCATGAAGGCACATTTTCTGAGAGGTGAACACCATCCCTGGCAGTGTAAGGAAGGAAAATGTCTCCTTTTGTCTCTTGGAATTCACTGCATCTCCAAAGTACTTTCAAGACAGACTTGTTTTTTTAAATATTCAGTTCTGTTAAATGAAGGATTTAATCTGTGCAACCTGAAACTGAAGATGTATCCTCTACTGAGGGAACGTGACAGTAATACTCTCATTGAAACACTGATTTATCTGAATGTATATTTAACATTCCAACAAATAGTAATAAATGCCATAGGCAGACAATAAAAAGCAATACTTCCAATATATAAACATTTTACATTTCATTTTCAGACAAAGCTGAAATCACAGGAAAACACGTTGGCGAGGTTTTCAGCCAGAGCTGGCTGAGATGTAAACAAAATGAAAGATAAATCATTTAAAAGTATTTTGGGCATCTTACATAGAAAAAGAGTGAAAACAGCCACCACGTTCAGCTGCCCTGTTTCAGCTTTCTCAGTTCAACTTCTTAAAATGTATACAAACCTGAAACTGCTGTAATATTAAGCCTCAGATTCTCTGTGGCCAATGTAAAGAGCGTCAACTGCACAAACAGAAGAAGCTGCAGTGGAGGAAGCAGGATGACATTGTTCTCTCCTAGGAATATGGGATCTGTCTCTGCCCATCTAGGTTGTCTTGGTTTGGAATCAGACTTCTTCACATGACTCCACATCCCAGCCACAGGACTCCAGCTGCTCATCCTGTGGAAATTCTACCTCGATATCATAGATGAAGTCCGGGTCGTCCTTCTTCTTCCTGTTCTTTTCAAAGAGCTCATCCATGATGCTCTTCCTTTTGGCTAGCTCCTCGTCGTCCAGTTTGTTCATGTCCTCCTCAGGGTCGATGGTCTCTTCCTGCTGAATCTTTTCCAGGCTCTCAGCCAGACTCTCTCCCCTCAAGTGGCCTCTCAGCAAACTGTGCAGCTTCTTTAGCTGACGCAGTGAGACTCCTTCCAGGTATGCTTTGTGCCGAGGGTTATTCTTCAGCTGCTCAGCAGCCATGCCACAATCTAAAAACAAAACCACCCTGAAGAAGTACAAAGGCAAGCAAATCTCTTTAAGTAGAGATCATCCTCTCCCTAACCCTTACAGACGAGGCCTCCAGGTTTAGCAGCGCTGCTGCTCAGCTTAAGATGCTGCCCTGGCCTCCTCGGAGAGACAGCGTTACCCCAAACCTGCCCACTGCATGCTCCTCACTGGCTGGTGCTGTGACCAGCTGCTCCTTTCCCCGTGTGAGGAGAGGAAGTGGGGAATGCTGGATGGAAACAACGCACCTGAGAACTGGGAGAAATTTCTGACAGGCATGATGCGCCGGCGAGTCTTGTCCTCCTCCTTGTAGATCAGGATCACAGATGGAGGCTGAAAGCGAATGCCGCACTTCTTTGCGATGCAAGTCATTGCAGGTCTTGCTGCTGGCTGAAAAGTGCTCAGCTGTATCAGAAAAGTCCTCAGCAACTTCAGCACTCACTGAAGAACTGGAAAAAAAGGGAAAAAAAAGCTTGAGTGCCTCTTGTTAGCCTGTTGTTGGGACTAGAGTGACCCACGCTCAGTAAAAATACACACCCAGGCTGCAGCTCTCCCAGGGGAGACCTCAGGGGAACCTGAACACATCTCACATGCTCTTTGAGCTGAGCATGGGGAGCAAGGTGACTCTTGATGGCTGATTTACACCCTTATCGCCTCTCAGCTTTTGAAGCAGGATTCTGTATCACACACAAGTGAAATTTTTGGTCTACCTGCTGAGTATTGCACAGTCAAACGATACCTAGGAGATATTTATTGTGACAAGGGAGAAGCCTGCATGCGTACTTTATTAAACACTGGAATTCTCTTTCTTAGAAGAAAACAAAACAAAAACCAAACAACTGTGTAAGAGGAAGAGCATGTTTTTGTAAGCTTTCCTGTGGGTTCAGCTTTTGCCATACCTGAGAGGTAGAGAAGAGGGTGGAGTGAGGAAGAACCATTTGGCCCCGTGGATCTGTAGCTGTTTTCCTGTCGGTGGATGGAGAGCAGACTGTTATGGATTAGCTTGCTGTTAGGTAAGGACTGCAAAACTCTCAGGTGTGCTGGTCAGCTGCTGAATGAATCAGCTTACAAAGTTCACCACCAGAAGCACGGCTGGCATCAGCAGCCCATTTTTACCCGATCTCATTTGGGAACCCCTCATGGCAGCTCTGCCGTCGGCTGTGACCCCGTTAGCGTCACATGGAAATGACGGGGATGGAAAGAACCCAGCACAGCACAGCCCTCGCCACGGCGTCACCTCCTTCAAGCGGCAGCGCCCGGCATGCGTCCTCCTCCCCCCAGTGCAGCGATTAAACACGGGAACAAAACAGCGGGACCGCCGAGCAAGCGGGAATTCCCATCTCCGGGACCAAGCTGCCGCCAGTCCCCGCCGGAAGAAAGAACGCACCCCAGGTTCCTCAGGCCGGCGCCGAGCGCGGCCGCCCGGCGTCCCTCAGCCCGCAGCCCCCGGGCGGGGCGGCCTCAGCCGTTGCCGCGGTAACCGAAAGGTCCTCCTGCCGAAGATCCCCTTCGGGCTGTCTGCTCCAAGTGCCTGCGAAACGCGACACAAAATGGCCGCCCGCGGCCTCCACGACAATCAGGCGGTGCTGCGGGCAGCCCCCGCCCTGAGGTGAGGCGGGGCCACGTGCGGCGACTCCAAGATGGCGGCCGAGCGGTGGCGGCCGGGCCTGGGTGTGCTGCTCTGTGCCCTCCGTAAGTGCCCGGCGTAGCGCTCGGCCTGCCGTGCTCAGCTTTGCCGTGCTCTCGGTGCAGCTATTTACTCTTTCTGTGCCGTTTCAGACGTACAGGCCGCCTGCCGCGGGAGCGCCGTCTCGCAGGAGCTGCTGAAGGAGGGCTTCCACAGGTGGAGCCGCCGGGCGGGGCTCGGGGCTGTGGCTGAATGACGGAGCGGTGTGGGGCGGGGGGATCCTGCAGCCCCGGCCCGGCCCGTCTGCCCCACCATAGCAGGCTGCCCAGGGCCCCCTCCGACTCTCCTCGGGCACCTCCAGGGATGGGGCACCCACACAGAATGCCTTGGGTTAAAAAGGACCACAATGACCATCTAGTTTCAACCCCCTGCTATGTGCAGCGTCACCGACCACCAGACCAGGCTGCCCAGAGCCACATCCAGCCTGGGATGTTTAATTTCTCATGTATTTGTGATCTTTCTTCCATCTGCGCCCATCTCTGAGCGTTCGGCAGCGTGACACGTGGAGGTTTTTCTGCTGTCTCTCAACATACAGGTTTCAGCACTGTGCCCCCATGGTTTGCTTTAAGGGAGCTGCTGGTGAAGGTGGAGCTGAGTGGGACGGGGCAGTGGACAGAAGGATGCACGGTGGCTGCCAGAACTCACCTGCCACGGGGAGTCTATGTGGATCCCTATGAGCTGGCATCGCTGCAGCAGCACAACGTGACGAAGGTAAGGAGGCAGGGCTTCTCACATAAAGGCTGCGTTTTGCCAGTAAGCTGAAGAGCACGTTGCTCAGGAAGGTGTAATCTGTGTTCTTCAGGGGGCTGCAAGAACCGAAGTGGCTCATTCCCCTTTCCTGAAAGATGCTGCACAGCATCATGTTTATGGCTTCTCGATGCAGCTCTCAGCAGCACCTGGTGCAGGGTGTGTTTTGTCATGGGTTGCTGGTGTTCCTACGTGTAGGGGTGCTTACCAGCAAGCTGTTACAGCTCTGCTCAGCACTGGATAAGCAATTGTGGTGAAAGGTAATCAGGCTGAAAAGAAGGAAGGTTAGCCCTCTATAGAAGAAGAGTGATTGCAGTCTTCCAGCCAAGGTTCTCTATCAAGGTCTTCAAAAGAGCAGAACAGTGGCTTTAAGTGACGTGCTGTGAATTTGGAGTGAGGAGCTTTGCAGCTTGTGTTTCATCACAGCTTTCTTGAGAGACTTATGCCTAGATCTTGACTCCAGTGCAGATTACTGCTGGTCCTCATTTCTCCCATTTTAAATGGGGAGCGTCCAGGTTTCCCCTCTTCCACGATGTGTCTCTTTAGGTTGTGCCCATGTGGTAAGAAACAACCCTAAAACTATACACAGCCATACTCACTGGGGCTCCATTCTTAGCAGGACACTTTTGTAATAGTGGTAAAACAGTTTATAACAAACACTGGTTCAAACTTACAGCATAACTTTGAACTGGGCTTCAACTCACTTTATTTTAGATGTTTGTCTTCTAGGCATATACTCAGTGCTGTTTATTTACAGCCAGCTAGAAAGATAGCCTGCTTTGTTCTCTCCTGAATTTGATGTCTTGGGTGACCACAAGTACTTAATATCACTACTCAGTAGAGGAGTTTGTGTGACTGTGCTTTTGCTGTCTGCTGTGGAGGTCTGCAGCAAGCTCTGTGACACCCTGCCTGTACACACAGAATAAATCCCAACAGTAGACTTTCCCTGGTACTCTGGAGGGCAGGGGTCACTGCAGGGGTTGCAGTTGTCCCTTCTGATGCTGCAGTAGATTACAGCAGCAGACTGTGACCTCCTTAATCTCAGATTCATACCCAAAATGTTCATACCTTTTTTTTTTTCTGTATCCCTCTTTGTTGATTCCAGTCGCAGCCATATCTGTCTCTTCGTTCGCTCGCAGGCAGTGCTCATTCCTGATGCTGTTGATGTGGAGGCTCCTGAGTACTCAGCTACAGACCTTACTGTCCTGCTGTACCTGCAGCCCGACCCTCGCTGTTGGCACTGTTTCAGAGCAGCACTGCCTGTGCATGGGCGCTACCACCGGCCAGCAGAGAGCAGCGAGGACGCGTTGGTTGCTCTGAAGGGTGCAGAAATACTGCTCTGCTGCTGTGACGGTGAGGTTCTGCTTTGTTTAAGTTCAACCACTCAGACCGCGTGTTCTCACTGTATTTCTCTTGACAGCTGAAGCCATGCAAGGTGTATTTAAAATTATTCACTGTCAGGTACTTGGTCAAATGCTGAATCAAAGTATTCTGGTGGTTTCCGAGCCTTTCTTCTTGCATTTGGGTGGTGCAGAAGAGGGAGGAAGCGTGTTTTGTGGTGGTTGTAGTTCCCAGATTCTTCTGAAACAAGAACCTGGTATCCACTGACAATGAGTATTTATTATTGATATAAAAGCACTTATGGTAGGGGAATTCTTGTATGCGACAACAGGAGGTCAACAGGAAGACATGGAAGAATGACTTCTGTAGTTTTGGGGAATCTATAAGTTGTAACTGCATGGCTAGAGTTGAGAGATCTGCAGCTCAACGATGGCTGCTTTGCTCTGTTAAAGACAGCCCGTGGGTGAGATTCATCCTTAGTTACCTACTGTATCTGTCTTCCATAGAGCACCTGTCACCAGAGTGCTGGCAGCCTGCTGAGGTGGAAGCTCCCTGTTCAGAGGAGAAGGAGCACCTCTGTCAGTGGTACAGTGCAGCACACCAACCTGTGAGTTCCTATTCCTGAAGGAAATTCTTGCCTCTTGCTGCCTTTTTCTGAGATGAGCAGCTTCCAAAGCATGGGACCTAACGGATAAAAGCCTCACTGTGTAACTTCTTATAGAAGCTCCCTTCTTCCTCTCTGACCTGGTTTTAATGGGTGTCATCCTGTGCTGTTCTGTGCCCTTGGTGGTGGCTGCTCTCCTCACCTTTACATTTGTTCTTTTGTTTTCCTCCTCCCCTAAGCAGATGAGTTGGAGTCCTAGAATTGACAGTGCTGTAATTGGCACTAGTTGAATTAAGAATGGCCTCTGCAGGGTAGGTTTTTTCAGATGAGTTCAAAATAGGAGAACTCTGCTGCAGTCTAATAGGAAAAAAAAAAAAAAGACTAAAAGTTAAAGGAATAACTTCTTAACAAAAGGCCATCAGATTGGATAAGTGTCAAGGTGAACCAAGGTCAGTTAGATTTTTAGGACGGCCAACAGCTGCCTTTGAAACTTGAACACTTTGTGGTAGTCTAGAGATTCAGAAATAAGACTAATTTGTTTCATAACAAATCTTTTGTTTGTGTAATGTGTGCCTTCCTGTATGTAAGGTACCTTCAGAATACGAACAGCTGTCATCCAAAAGTGTTTTGCAGAGAAACCAAATAGTTGTTTATCTTGGAGAAAAATGGCTTCTCAGTGATCTGCAGAATGCTTATTCTGAGAGATCTCTGCTGGCAAGCTTGATGCTTGAAGAGCAAAGCTACAGAGCATACAAATGCCTACCATTTACAATGGAGTAGATACATTTATTGAGCTCTGTACAACAAGAGCAACTGGCTGTCTGTAAGGGCACTGAATTGAAAGGCTGTGTCCCATCTCAGCTTTCTTTGGGGATTCAAAATCAAGCCTTAGCAAAAGCCAAGTTAAATAAAAGTCTAGTTACTGCTCCCCTGAGTTGCAGTTAAAAAAAAACAGACCAACAACAACAGAAGCTGGTTAAATGTGCATAACCAATTCACTTTTCCTTGTAGGAGCATGAAGAATTGATTCTGCGGGTCCCGGTGGGGCTCACACAGCACAGTTTCTTAGTGTGTGTCATGACTCTTCTTGCCACCGTGCTCTGTTCCAGCCTGATTCTTGCTGCTGTGTGCAAATATGGAGACTTCTCTCTGGTGACCTGCTTGGAATAAAGAAGTGCAAAATGACTGAGCTCCTTTACTGTTATTTACATCTCAGTAATGCGTGAGGATGCCATAAGGACTGTCATCCTGTTGCACAAAGATGGCAGCAGTCAGGAGCAGAATCTATCTCCCATTCCTTACCCTAGGCCTCAGCCTGCTTTGGCTACAGTGCTTCTCCTTGCAGAGGTGTTTGTATTTCTTGAATTTAAATGAACAGACTTGAGAAGTGGGTGTTAAGGGTATGAAAAACATCTCATCCTTCAAGTTCCTGAATTTGAAGTTTGTTTACACTGTCCAGATGGGTGATGCATGGATTTGGGAAGAGGCATTCTGTGCTTATTTGTGACAGTAGAAGGCTTAAAAAACAATCTGTACAATTCTGTAGTAACTGGGGGGGATGGGGGGAGAGGAGGCGATTAACTGCTCTTGCTCAAATCCTTCACTTAAAGAGCTTGGAAAATCTGAAGGAAATCTCACCCTCTATCTGAAGCTGAAATAACCCTTGGAAGATGAAAGCTGGTGAAAAGATACAAACTAGAAGCAAATACTTAGAAGACTTGAATTCAGCCATCAGAGCAGTTGGTAAATACAAGGAAATGGAGAGGAAATTACTTAATGGAAAAACTGAGTTGCTTTAGATTAGCAGAACTCGGTTGCTGCTTTCAATCGTCAGTAGGTGGCATTGTGACCTTACAGTAGCTCAGGGACTGTTGATGGAGAAAACTTCATTCCTTAGAAGCTCAGTTAGTTAAGAGCAGGTGATTTTCAGGGTGTGTGTGAGAGGGATGAATGAACGTTCTGGTTTTCAAATTCTATCTTCCTTTATATGCAGCCAAGACTGTTCCCCAGCAGAATCAGCCTTTCATTGCTGTCCAGCTGTAGCTTCAGGATCCCCTGGGCATCCTTCCTCTGCTTCTGCTGGAATTCAATAGAGAGCTCGTCTTGTGACTTTGCCCGCAACAGGTTGGCAAGTGCTCTGACAGTGGGCTCTTGTTTTCCCCTGGCTGTGCTGAATGACGGTAGCTGCGCCAGTACTTCATCCACTACCTCAGAGGCGTCATGCTCTGCATCTGTGTGGGGGAAGGGAGGAATTAAAGAACAATTGCAGAGAGCTCTTTAACCGTATCGGCGCCGCAGGGCTGAAAAGAGACGCTGTGAATAGGTACTTGTCTCTCTGTGGCATCCGGAACTCCCCGGGTTGAGTTTGTCCTCGTGTCCAGCGAGACCTGGTCAGGCTGGAGAGCTGGGCAGAAAAAAAAACGGATGAGGTTTAACAACAGCAAGTGAAGAGTCTTGCAGCTGGGGAGGAAGAATTGCATGCAGCGGTACAGGTTGGGGGATGAGCTGCTGGAGGGGAGCTCTGCGGAGAGGGACCTGGGTGTCCTGGTGGACGACAGGTTGGCCATGAGCCAGCAGTGTGCCCTTGTGGCCAAGAGGGCCAATGGCATCCTGGGGTGCATTGCAAAGAGCGTGGCCAGCAGGTCGAGGGAGGTGATCCTGCCCCTCTACTCTGCCCTGGTGAGGCCTCATCTGGAGCACTGCGTCCAGTTCTGGACTCCCAGTACAAAAAAGGCAGGGATCTCTTGGAAAGAGTCCAGTGCAAGGCCACAAAGATGGTGAGGGGCCTGGAGCATCTCTGCTATGAGGAAAGGCTGAGTGAACTGGGTCTGTGCAGCCTGGAGAAAAGAAGGCTGAGAGGGGACCTGATCCAGGTCTATAAATATCTAAGGTGTGGGGGACAGAATGGAGAGGCCGGACTCTTTTCAGTGATGAGTGGAGACAGGACAAGGGGAAACGGCCGGAAACTGCAGCACAGGAAGTTCTGCACCAATGTGCACAAGAACTTCTTTACAGTGAGGTGAGGAGCACTGGAACAGGCTGCCCAGGGAGGTGGTGGAGTCTCCTTCTCTGGAGATGTTCAAGACCTGCCTGGATGCCTTCCTGTGCGACCTGCTGTAGGGAACCTGCTTTGGCAGGGGGTTGGACTCGATGATCTCTGGAGGTCCCTTCCAACCCCTACAATTCTGTGATTCTGTGTTCTCTCCCGTGCAGTTCTGTGTAGCAGTCTGACTGGTGGAAGGGCAGTGCTTCCAGGTTGCTGCTCAGCTTGGCTGGAAGCTTTGTCTTCTGAAAGCTCAGGATTTCTTAAGTGTCAGGTGATAGCAGTTGAAAAGCACGGGCTAGCTAAAGCTGCCTGACATCAGAGCCCAGCGAAAGGAACCTCGTTTCACTGGGACAGCTGAAAATATCCCAAGTGGTAAAAATAAGACGGTTTGTCTGGTGATGTGTGTGTGTGACAGTGCGAGGAGTCTGCATCAGCGCTCAGGTGACAAATTGGCAGGAGGAGCTCAGCACAGCACTGAACACAGTGACCTCAGAACAAGTTGGAGTGCAGCTGCTGGGATGTGGGGCCAAGAGGGGTTTCAGTGGCCTTTTGTGTGGCACCAGGAGCTACAGGTGTGCCCTGGTGCGGTGCCCCATGGAGCTGAACGTCAGTGCCGGTCCTGCAGGGATCGCTGCTAGGTGCAGGGGAGCCGTGAGGCAGTCCTGTGCCGTGTGGGAGCGTTCTGTGGAGGGAGAATTGGGGTGATAGTGGTGATAGCTTGAGCTCTTGGCGAGAGAACAGATAAAAGGTCGGGTACAGCATCGCTAATAGGTGTGAGGACCGAATTAAGGGGATTGACGGAAGGGGATAAAGCTGAGTCGCAAATTAACATCACAACAAAGCAGCGTCGTGTAACAGCGATAGAACCAGAGGGAATGGCTTCAAGCTGTGCCAGGGCAGATTTAGGCTGGACGTTAGGAAATGCTGCTTCTCTGAAAGAGTGGTCAGGCACTGAGATGGGGAGGTGGTGGAGACACCGACACTGGAGGCGTTCAAGGAAGGGTTGGATTTTGCGTTGAGGGACGTGGTTTAGTGAGAGCTGTTGGTGATGGGGGGGTGGTTGGACTGCACGATCTCCAAAGTCTTTTCCAACCTCGGTGATGCTGTGAAAAAGACGCGCCTGGGGAGAGGATGGCAGAGGGCTGAGCGTTCCGAGGGCGGGCTGGAGCGGGAGCCGGGTGAGTTCGCAGCAGCGAGCGGCGAGGCCGCGCCGTGGGAAAGGAAAGCGGAGCTGAGGGGAGCGCGCCGTTCCGCGCCCCGCTTTCCCGCGCGGCGCGGCACTGCACCCCGCGTTTCCCGTCGGCCCCCGCGCCGCTGAGGGCTGCCGGGTGCCGTAGTCCCGTTGGCGGCGCCCCGCCCCTCGCGGGCTGTGGCCACGCGCGGCGGTTCCGCTTCCCCCTCCGGCTCCTGCCGCCGCCGCCTCGGTGGGTGCCGCCGCCGCCATTGCAGAGGCGCCGTGTGGCGGCCGCGCCCCGCTGCCCGCTCGTCCGTCCCGGAGGGCGGCCGGCGCCGCCCCGGCTCCGGTGAGTGCGCGGCCGCGGCCCGCTCCCACCTGCCGCCCGCGCCGCCCTTTGTGGGCCCTCCCGGCCGGGCCTGCGGCGGGGCGGCGGCGGCCGGGCGGCGCCTCGCGGGGCGGCACCGCGGGCGCGGAGCTGCGGGGGGAGCGGGGCGGTGCGGGATGCGCCGCGATGGGATCGCTGCGATGGGATCGCGGCTCGAGTCCCCAACCGCGCGGCCCAAAAAACGGGAAGCGCACCGATGTGCGCTGCCGTTATGGAGGGGGTGGAGGTGGCCCGGCGCTGCGGGGCGAGGACGCCGGGTGTGGGCTGGCCGGGAAGGTGTTACGGTCTGGTGGGATGAAAGAGGCACAGGAGCTGAAAACGTGAAGCCTTTGTGAGCTTTGAAGTGGAATGAGAGGAGAGGAGAGGAGAGCAGAGCAGAGCGTGAGGGGAAAACTCAGCGAGCAGCGTTTGAGAGGAAGGAAGAGCCTTCGTGTGGAGCTTCTGGTTGGTGCTGCAGTGCTTGAAGGACCCAAGGTTCACATCCTCTGTGTGTGTGGGATTGGGGCGCGCGTGATTAAAAACGTCGGGCTGTAAAATGGGCAAGAACACAAATGGCCATCAGCTTCATACTATGGGCTTTGAACTCCTCATGGCTCGGTGAGGGGGGCAGGAGGCACACCCTGCACTGCTGGGGTTGGGCTGGGTGCTAACCCTGCGCTCAGCCATTGTGGGGCTTTGCTGCACAGGCACCTGCTGGTGTGTCCTGTGGGATGGTGGGTGAATGCTTTGACCGTGTAGGGCAGGTCTCATCTTGGGCTTCTTTTAAAATGTGGCCCTTTAAACACTCTGGTGTGCTTATTTCGTTTAAGCCTTTCAGTTAGGTTTGAAAGAGAAAATTGTTCGAGCCCCTTTGTTTTCTACATGATGCTAGGAAAAGTGTAAAGGGTATCGATGCTCCTGATTCTGTCTTTGTGCTGATAGGAGTGCTGCAGGGATCAGAAAGATTGTCAAAGTGTTTTGCTAATAAGAGTACTTCTGCTTTAGCGTTCCCCTATCAGTCTCGTACGCTTCACCTTTCATCTGTTTTCTGTGTTAGGAGGTTTCTGAGGCACTGAGAGCTCCCTGAGATTTCTGTGCCAGCGTTTCCTGTAGCAGTCCCCTTTGCTGACATGCCTGTGCGTAGCCACAACAAAGCAAAAGTTACTTGTTTTGAAAACACGGTACTCGGGGAGATGCTGCTCTGACTGGCTGGGCCTGCTGGTGAACATGAGCAGCAATCAGGCTCTGAGGCCAGCAAGTGGGATACAGGAGGGAAGCTCTAAAGGTGAGTTGACTTACCAAGGTTTTGGGGGGAGAAGGTAGCGATGGCGAGAGCAGGAGGAGGGAGAGGTGTGTTGCTGCCTGGCAGTGTGTGTTCAGCCCTGCTGCTTTGCTTCAGCTGCCAGCCCTTTGAGAAGCTGTATGTTCAAATGCCTCGAGTGCCTGTGCTTAAAATAGTGTTAGACAGCTTCTACAGGTGATGTTTTGTAAATAAATAAAACAAAATGAATTCTGCAGTTTGATCATAGTGATGGAAGAAGTTAGTTCTTTATAACTGAGGTGGTTCCGTGAGAATGATGGACCTGGAACAGATTTTC